GCGGGGGCCGGGGCGCGAGCTCACGGGGCGCGGGCTCCCCTGGCGCGGCCGCCCGGCGCCCGGCCGCTCCGCCACATCTGCAGCTCCGGGCAGGGAAGGTGGCCGCGGCGGCAGGGCCGTGCGGGGATGTCTTTGCGAGGGAGGGAGGGAAGGAGGAGAGAGGGGGAGGGACGGGGCGGGAGGAGGGACCGGCGGCCGTGGAGGAGGGCGGGGAGGAGGGGCGCGGGGGGCGCTCTCCCTCCCTCGCGGCTCGCTCGCTCCCGCCCTCCCTGCAAACCCCTCTCGCTACCGCGGCCCCAGGCCCGGGGCGCCAGCTGCCAGGCGGAGCGTGCGCGTCGTGGGGGAGGGGGCGGGCGGCGAGGCCGGGGGAGGGGAGGGGAGGAAGGGCGGACGGCCTCAGGAGCGGGCACCGGGAGGGAGGCGGGGAGCGAAGGAGGGAGCCCGGCCGTAGCCGAGGCGCGCGTCCTCCGCGACCCCCCCATCTCGCCTGCCGCAGTCCCGCCCCCGGCCCGAGGGCAGCGCTAGGACACGGCCCGGAGGTGGCCTGGGGGGCAGGGGGGGGGCGAGGGCGCGTTATCCCGCCCCTGGGGAAGCCTGGGAGAGGGGCGGGCGCGCCGGCCTGAAGGAAAAGCCCTGAGGACCTGGAAGATGGAGGAGGCCGCGGCGGCCGAGGGGCGGGGACCCTCGCCTCCTCCTGCGGGGTCACCTTGGCCAGGGCCCCGCGGCCCTGGGCAGCGGGGAAGGCGGTAGGAATGCCTCCCCGAAGGCCCCGATTTCCCCGCCCAGCGCAGTTCCAGGAACGCGCAGGCGGAGGCCTTTTCTGATTCTGACAGGTTCGAGGCCACCCTCTGCATTTCCAGCTCTGCCTTGTCTTCAGCCTTAATTCCCTCCCGGTGAAATAGGCAGGAGGCCTGGCCCCAACCAATCCGGGATTCCGATAGCTTGGTGACAGCTGCCGAGACAACCTGGGCCCCCCAGCCTGAGCGCCACCGGGTCACCGCACTTGTGGTCAGTAAGTTCAATGAGTTCATGGCCACTGAGACATGGATACGGGTCGGTGACGCTTACACACTGAAGCTAAGCCACTTTCCACCTCTCCCGAGAAGCTCAGACTTGTGCTCTTTGGTGTTTCCTCTGGGCGATTCCTGAGTCCGCGCCTAGTCACTTCTTACCTGTCTTCTGCCTGGGGACAAATCTCGGTTCAAAAAGACAGGACTTGAGCACAGGAAACAAACGAAAAGGCGCTTCAGAGTCAGCATCCCCAGTAGGTGAAGCACTGACTCTGGGCTTGAACTGTGTTTCACTCGGGCGTTTGATGCCGCGGTCTCAGAGACACTTCAAGGCTGGCGCGTGATCACAGGGCTTCCCCATCAGCGGGCACCGCTCTTGGCACACGCTCCCTTTCTGATGCGCAGGTAGGCGCATACCGGGTGCTCCTGACATGGAGAACAGACGCACACGTAGTCAGTGCTCCTAACTGCTCGTGTAGTCCTGATGGGTGCTCGTTATATTTTGAACGAAGACACATAACAGGTGCTTAGGATCTTTAAATACCTATGAGGGATTTAGGAAGGACGGTGCACTAGGAGCAGAAGCCCTAAGGCAGGGACAAGGCTGCTCCCGTCAACCCCACTTCCCATGTGTGGATGATGTCGCCGTGCTGCTAGGTTAAACATTAGCTGGCAGATGGACCCGGGGAAGGCCAGCTCCGGGACCTACAGCTTCCAGGAGGGGGCTGTTAAGGGCCGACTCTCTGGATTCCTGCCATAGCCTAACAAGAGTCGGAGGGAGGCGAAGGGCTGCAAAGCGCCCCCTCCCGGCGTCTTGAATCTGCTAATCAGCCTTCTGTTAATCCAGCCCCAGTGCGGTATCTGAGCCAGGATGACTGCAGTCCTGAGGGACATCGGTAGTAAGAAACTGGACGACTAGTATACATCTATTTATTTAGAAGAAAAAGGAAAAAAAAATCGTATTGAGGATCTGGGGATACAGCTCAGCAGTGCACCAGCGTTCCTAGGTTCAATCCCTGATACCAGAAAAATAAAAAGTAGCAAGTGTTGCTAGGACAACAGGCACAGTAATTTTACAGACAAAAGGCCAACAACCCCAGATAAGGGAGACTTGGCCCAAAGAAACTTCACCTTCAGAACTCAGACCCAGGATCCTAAGGCTGGGATGGTAAATAATAATGATGCCTCCTCTCTCAGGATCTGGGAACATGAGATAAACAAAATTTGGATGTTTTTGCAAACCAACAGGATTAAAGAAAGAAGCCTGGAATCCCACCACTGGGAAGATCACAAGTTGGAAGTCAGCTTGAATTACATAGCAAATTCCAGGGCAGCCTGAGCTACATACAAAGTGAGATCTTATCGTCAGCATTTACGAAATTTAAAAAAAAAAAAAAGAAAATTCTAAACCAGCCTGGTTTACATAGCAAGTCCCAGGACAGCCAGGCATAGAATGACCCTGTCTCAAAAAGACAAAAAAAAAGACAAAACTATATACATACATAAGTAAATAAAAAAGAGTGAAGACAGCCTGGAAAACTAGGTGTAAGAGTGGTTTAGGCCTCAATCCCAGCAGCAGTTAATAGGCTGAGCCAGGGGAGCCTAGATTTAAGGCTGGCTAGGTACACAAGATTCTACCTCAGATGGCATGGTGGCACAGGCCTTTGATCCCAGCGATCAGGGAGGAAGAGGCAGGTGGATCTCACTCTGAAGAAGATTCTTCTGCCACTGCCTCCCAAATCGCCAGGAATAAAGGTGTACGCCACCACTGCCAGTGATAGCCAGCGTTTTACAAGCTAGTAGGAGGCTGGTTTGATTCCAAAGCCTGCACTTGAACCCACGACCTCCCCAGAGCATCAGCTGTCTGGAAAGGTAGGGGAACAAAGAGGTCAGGGGGGCTTTCTTGGAGTTCTTCTGGGAAAACAGTGGGTAAAGAGAGCCCTTCCTCTCTAGTCGTGGTCTCTTGGTGGTGGGCCTCTCCTCCCTCAGAGTCCTTCTCTGAGCAGGCATCCTTCTATGTATGCCAAGGATGTGAACGGAGGATGGTTTTCCCTAGTAGATGATAATCCCCCGAGGGAGGACTCAGTGACATTGCTCCGCATTTTCCCTTGTGGGGGAAGTAAATGCCGTCCAAATATGACTGGTTGATGTATCTGAAGGCTGAGTTTGGTGTCCTAATCCTTTACGAGTCACCATGTATTGAATGGAGTGTAGTGAAATGGCACAATACTTGTGAGTATCAGAAAAAAATAAATCACAAAACTCCGTGTATTGAACATGTCTTCTGTTCACTTCCATTCAATAGATACTTATTAAGATCTTTATTTGTTGTTTTTTGCTTGTTAGTTTTTTGGGTTGTCTGTTGTTTGAAACATAGTTTCTCTGTGTAGCCTTGGCTGTCCTAGACTCCCTTTACAGACCAGGCTGGCCTCAAACTCAGCTATCCTTCCGCTTTTGCCTCCCAAGTGCTGGGATTAAAGGCGCGCACCAGCACTGCCCCGATTGCTTGTTAGTTTTTTGAAACAGGGTCTCATTGTGCGGCCCTAGCTGATCTGAATTTGTTTTGTAGCACCAGGCTGGCCTTGAAATCACAGAGAGGTACAGAGAGACAGCTCAGTGGTTAGGAGCACTCCTTGCTCTTGAAGACCCCAGACTCAGTTCTCAACAGCCACACCCAGGTGGCTCACCAACACCTGCAGCTCCAGCTGCAGGAGATCCAGTGCCCTATTCTGACTTCCACAGGCACTAGGCGGTGTACATACATGCAGGCAGAACACTCGTGAACATAAAAAACAAAGTAACTTTTAAAAATTTTAGTACCTTTTTTTTTTTTTTTAATTTTAGACAGGTTTTCTTTGTGTATCCTTAGCGCTGTGCTAGAACTTGCTGTGTAGACCAGGCTGGACTCAAACTCACAGAGATCTACCTGCCTCAGTACCGGCAAGCCACTGCCTGGCTTGGTTGGTTGGTTGGTAAATAAATAAATCTTAAACAAACAAACAAACAAAAAACCCTCAGAGATCTGACTCTGCTTTCCAGGTGCTAAGATCAAAGGCTTGTGACACTATACCTGGCTAGTAAGCTCTTATAGGTCCATTTGCTGTTTATTGAAGGCTAGTGGTATGTACTGGGCTAGGCAACCCCACCCATGCCTTTAAGGACATCACTGAGTCTAGGGGGACCTCTTACCTGTCACACCCCCATTGCTGCTCATGCTCATCACGTACATCTTCCCACTTCAGGGAGGGTGTCATATACACTACAGGAACTCAATGACTGGTTCTTCAGTTAACACACAGAGTTAGGTCCATAAAGAAATCATAGGCAGGGGGCTGGAGAAGGCTCAGAGGTTAAGAGCACTGTCTGCTCTTCCAGAGGTCCTGAGTTCAATTCCCAGCAACCATAAGGTGGCTCATAACTATGAGATCTGGTGCCCTCTTCTGGTGTGCAGGCATATATATAGTCAGAGCATTCTATACAAACTGAAAGGAAGAAGAAAGAAGGAAGAAGGAGAGAGAAAAGAAGGAGGAATCAGAGACATAGAGAAGATTCTGTCTTTTCAGAGCCTGGGGCAGAGTGTAAAAGATGGGAAAAAGATAAATAAGTCTTGATCTCAGTGGTAATACATTTTCCTAGCATTGGCAAGGCCTAATTCCAGCCCTAGCACCTCCAAAAAGAATTGAAAGGTTGGTGTAAAGGCAGGCAGATCAGAAGTTCAAAGTCATCTGAGGCTATACAATAACTTTGGGCTAGCCTGGCATATAAAATCCATATACGTGCTAGAGAGATGGCTCGGCAGTTAAGATCTCTTGCTACTCAGAAGCTCTGGGGTCCATTCCCAGCACCCACATGGTGGACCACGACCACACAGTTCCAGGGACAGCAAGCATGCACCTGGTACACATATATACAAGCAGGTACAACAGGAATACTCATGAACTAAAACAAATTGAATGAAAATGAGCCTTTAGGCTTATGTGGCAAAGCCAGGTGTAGTGGCATGGACCTTTAATACCAACACTCAGAAGCAGGTAGATCTCTGTAAGCTTGAGACCTTAGGCTTGAAAAAAATGGGAGACAGCCAGGCGGTGGTGGAGAAAAAAGAAGAAGGAAAAAAAAAAGTGACTGTAGCCAATCTCTGCCTTTCGAAGCCTCACTCCTGACCTGTGGAGCATCAGTCCATGGGATCCGGGATTGCAGGGTGCTCAGGGGACGCTCCTGGGAAAGGCTTCCCCCAGTGTGGCTGGAAGAGAAAAGGAAGCAAACGATAGCTATTGTTACTCCCAAAGCAGGTTGGGCAGGGCCTGGGTAAAAGGAGTGATAGGAGGAATGAGAGCGGATAACTTATTAACCTTGAGCCATGGGCAGTGTGAGCAGTGAGCAACACTCCAGCAATCTGTTGGTTGGTGCTGGTCCTGTGGAGAGTCCAGGGCTGGGGCTGACTGTGGGTGGGGTGTTTATTCTGGAAGTGGCCCTGGTTGTTGCTCACACTACGATCCTGGAGAAAAAGCAAGCCTAGAGTGAGAATTAAGGCCCACCCTGGGCCCAGTTATACAATGCAGAGGCATCTGCATACAGGGCCAGGAGAAAATGTCCAGGACGCTTACCCCTAGCACCTGGCTAGGTCCGGCAGATTCAGAACACACTCTCAGAGAAAAGCTGTATCCTGAAGAGCCTCAAGGGCTCATGTTTCAGAAGTTGAGACTAGGTCCTGGATGCTCCAGGAGAATAATTAACACTACAAATAGGAATATCCACACTGGCTACTCCACCCTTAAAGAAGTCCCTGGCTGGATTCTCTCAGGAGTCTGGCTTCACGGTCAACCAACCCATGCAGTTACATTGAGCTGGCACACCAAAGTGACAGAGCTGGTTGGAATGTCTGGCTGTCCCCAGGGCCTGTGTTTTCATTTTGCCTAAGAAGCCTTGGTGCTTTGGCTTCCCCGGGACTTACCTTCTTTCTCACACGTGAACACTGAGACAATTTGCCCCTTGGCTACACACAGCAAGACAGGAGGGCCTTGGGGAAAGCCCCAGTTATGAAGCGGGTGGTAGAGGAGCAAGCATCAGCTGGCACCTGGGAAGGTCTGCTGTATCATCGCTCCAAATCTCAGCTGTCCCTGAGCTTTTTGTGTGAGAACACTGTACATCCGTGAAAGAGTGGAGTTTTTAAATTTAATTTTTGACTTCTTGTTGACAGGTTTAAAAGGTAGTTCATCTGGAGGTCATGGGGCCTGACAAGAAATACCTGCTCAGAAAATTAGAACTGCTATGTATAGAAGGGAGAATCCGGTCGAAGGTCCAGCTCAGTGGCAGAATGCTGGCCTAGCATACTTGTACCGGGTTTGAAACCTACCCCCTGAAAAAAGGAAAAGAAGGCCAACTACACGCACCCCGTCGTTCCTACCGACCTTTCCCAGGGGAGAGGAGCAATCCCTTCCCTGGCCCCTTTGCTCCTTCCCTCGCAGGGAGGAGACCCCACAGACACACCCTGAAGCAGGGACGACCGGCGGAGGAGCGGCCGCGACACATTTTTGAGTCGTGACCAAGTGGAAACTCCCTCCCCAAAGCGGAAGCCGGGGGCGCCCCACTGGGGCCAGAGCCTCCGCCGGGGCGGGATCCCAGGCCGGGGGCGGGGCACTGAGGGAGCTCTGGCCCCGCCCCATCGCCTTATAAATATGAATGAAGCCACTGGGGGCGGAAGTGCAAGCGTACCCCAGCCCTGCTGGCTCCGCCTGCACCGCGGGAGACACGGATCTGGGGGTGTGGCTCCCCTCAGGCGCCCGCCCCTCCGGCCCGTGAGGGGGCTCCTTCCGGCCGGGAGCGCCCGGGAGGTGACCTCGCGGGTGTTCTCCACTGCCTGGCGCGGGGAGGAGCTCGCGGCCGACCGTAGGTGTGGCGGAGCTTTGTCCCGCTGTCCTTCCCTTGACGCCCTCCAGTACCCAGAGTCTGGCTTGCGGGAGAGGCCGTAAGCGTTCCTTCTTTCGGCACCGGCGTAGAAAGAATTGCCCTGTCTTCCTGAGGAGGCTTTGGTTCGGTTGCAGTGAACCACCGCCCAACAGAGTAAAGGCAGTAGGCCGTCAGAGGAGAACACGAAGACGAACGGGAGTAGCTGAGAAGGTGACTAAGACCTGAAGGAGGGGCTTAGAGAGGTAGCTCAGTGGTAAACTACTATCCAGTACCACATAAAAACCGGGCTTGCGTGCCTATAAGCCACTCTAGAAAGTGGAGGCAGGAACACCAGGATTCAAGGTCAGTCTAGCTACATTGCGATTGTGAGGGCAACGCGGACTACGTGAAATCTTGCCTCAAAAAGACGGAAAGGAAGCAGAGGAACAGTCCGTCTGAATGCATTCAGTCGAGGAGGATGCCGCCTGGTGTGGGTGGAGTGGAGAGAAAGAATGTGGTTACGATGACAACAGCTTGTAGTTTTGTGCAGGTGACATATTCAGTATTTGGGTTTTTTGGGTTTTTTATTTTTATTTATCAGGACAGCTGAAAGTACGTGGTCTCTCCTGTTATCTGGGAGGAAATCAGGCTCAGGAAGGTACACAGCTTGGCAGACAGGCATTGGTAACAGATTGAGGGCTGCCTTGCCTGCATGAACCGTATGTGGAGACCAGACTTGGATGACCTTGACCAGAGAGGGACCCTCTGTGCTGGTGCTGGTCCTCCTTTCCACCGTCAGTGCTAGGATTGAGAGCAGAGCCTGAAGGACCTCAGAGGTGAAGGATGGGCAGGCAGACCTTTGCTTCTGTGAACCAGTCAGCTGTAATGTGCACCTACATAGAACCAAGGGTATGCTGAGCCATCATGATGTCTTCTTCGGGGAGATGCTTTTGTCTGGAAAGCGCTTGTCACCTCTCCAGGGATATGCAGTCAGGTACAAGTAGCTTTGGGGAGAGAGGGCAGAAAGGTGGGAGTCTTCAGAGGGTGTGGGTGGAATGATCTGTGGGGCTCAATGTCCTAGCCCATTAACAAAGGCAGTGTCTGCAGGCAGGCTGTGTCTTCTGCCAGTAACTGAAGAACGGATGGATCACCCGGACTGCCCTCACAGCCTGAGAGGTTAAATCACTTAGAAAACCCAAGGACTCAGTGCTGGCTGCCCCTGGGAGGTGGGAAAGGCCTGCATTGCTGATGGCCCCTTACAGTGGACGTGGAAAGAAGCACCTTCCTGCTGTGCCCTATCTGGGACTTTGTCTAGGTCACCCCTTCCCCAGTGTGTTACCCCTTAAGCTTGGGCAACTTGACCCCTTAGGCTCTAGTGTGAAATGTGGCTGTTAGGAGCCCAGCCTTGCCCTCCATTTGAGGGCTGTTACACGCACCTCGGCCTGGTGTCTCTAAGAAAACTGCGATACTGGTTCGAAAAGACCATAGTGGAACTCCTTATCAGGCCCATTTGGTAAGAAGACTTTGAGATGGACTATGATTCTTCTGAGAGGATATAAAGAGACAAGGATGGGATTCGAATCCAAATTTGACACTAGAGTATAAGTAAGATGGTTACTTTAAAAATGGCTTCCTCGATGGAACTAGAAAAGATCATCCTGAGTGAGGTAACACAGACCCAGAAAGACACCTGTGGTATACACTCACCTATAAGTGAGTTTTAGACATATAGTACAGGATTGACACAGTACAATGCACAGACCCCAAGAAGGTAAGTCCAGTGGGCATCTTAGGCTTCATGTGAGCCCGCTAGTTAGGGGAGTGGGGGATAGCTCTGACACAGACTTTCCTACAAGCCAAAGGGGAGGAAGACAAACTGTTAGTCCTCATATGAATAGATGAGCTGGGGTGTCTGGGTAGGAGGCCTCTCCTACTCAGAAGAATAAAGGAGAGGGGAGGCAGGAGGGAGGGACCTATGACCAAGATTAAAAAAAATCGCTTCCTTAAATAAATCTTTCAAAAATGGGGGGAGAGCACTAGAGAGATGGCTCAGAGGTTAAAAGCACTGGCTGTTCTTCCAAAGGTCCGGAGTTCAATTCCCAGCAACCATAAGGTGGCTCACAACCATCTATAGTGAGATTTGGTGCCCTCTTCTGGTGTGCTTTATAAATAATAAATAAATAAATCTTAAGAAGGAAAAAAAAAAACAAAAAACGCTTCCTCCAAAACACACTAGAGGTGGATCAGATGATAGGTTGGGCACAGTGACCACAGGCAAGGAAGTCTCTTTCTATTCTCTTTCTTTTCTTTGTCTCCAGGTGTAGGTGGGGTCAGAGGCACCTTAGGGGACAGCTGGTGGTGTCATCCGGTTAGAGGTTGGGTCTGGGCTCCTTAGCTGGACACATTGGGCTCTTGAGACACTTCTGCTTACCCAGGTTTTGAACTACTGGAGCCACTGTATGAGTCACTGACCAGGTGCGCATCAAGAATGGGATAATAGGCTACTTATAGACCCTGTCTCAAAAGACCAAACAAATAAAAGGGAGTGGGACACTAGGAGCTAGAGGGATGGCTAAGAGGTTAAGAGTTCCGGCTGCTCTTCTGTATATGGATGATTCCCAGCACCTACCGGGCAGCTCCTAGCTGTCTGCAATTCAGTTTCAGGGGATCTAACACATTCTGGCCTCTGAGTTCACCAGGAATGCATGTGGTGCACAGGCATACATGCAGGCAAAGCACCCATACACATAAAATAAAGGTAAATAAGCATTTTAAAAGAAGGAAGCTGGGCGGTGGCGTTAAGCCTTTAATCCCAGCACTCAGAAGGCAGAGGCAGGCAGCAGATCTCTGTGAGTTCCAGGCCAGCCTGGTCTACAGAGCAAGTGCCAGGACAACCAGGGCTACACAGAGAAACCCTGTCTCAAAAAACTGAGAAAAGGAGACTGTAATGCCAGGAATGGAGGAGGCAGGGATCCCTTGCCAGCCCACAAGAGGCTCAAGAAGAGAGAAAGGTAGAATGGGATAAGCTGCGGGGAGGGTGGGGGCCAGATCAATCAAAATATTGATAGCACTTGGATCTCTACCCTGGGGAGTAGACAGATCCAGGGGGCTTGCTGCCTAGGCAGCCTAACCTACTTGGCAAGCTCCAGGTCATTAAGAGACCCAAAAAACCAAGGTGGGCCAACAGGATGGTACGGTGCTCGCTGCTAAGCCAGGAGACCTGAGTTCAATCCCTGGAACCTAAAAGGTAGGAGTCGAGAACGGAGCCCACACTCTGTTCTCCCGCATCCGGGGCTTGCATTCACATGCACCCCATATACATGATAAATGAGTGTATAAAATACACTTGAGGTTGACCTCTGGCCTCTACACAAGTAAACATACACATGTCACTGAGGCTTATAAAAATTAAAGAGACCATTCAGACTCCCTGCTTTGAGGGAAACAAGAAGGCTTGTTGGTTCCATGAGAAGGTTACCAAGAATCGAGCAAACTGAGGAGGATAAGGCCTTTGCACAAAGATCATTCCAGAAGACTTCCATCACTCTCCCTTTACCGTAACTCTGTCATCTGTCTCTGCCAGTTTCTTCCTTCTGTAGCTCTTTCCACCCTTTTCTGTTTAATTGATTTTTTCTGACTCTCTCATTCCACTGAGCTCTGTGAAGTAAGAGGCTCGTCTTTACCTTGTTCTCCACATAGAAGGTGCTCAGTTAGTACGTGTGGAGTAAACCTGCAAGCTCACATGAATTGGTGATGCTGGAGGTGGGTCATCCAAGTAGCTCAGGGAGTCTCCGGCATCAGTGGCTTTCCGTGTATTCCAGTGCCAGTGGAATGTCTCTGGAAAGGAAACCCAAAGCCTGGTCTGGCAGAGGAGAGGAGGCAAAAGGGAGGGGAGCAAGGCTGCCGGGTTAGCAGAGGAAGACTGAAGCCCAGGCTGCCTCAGGCGTGTCCCCTGCCTTTGCACCCTTGGAATGTGGCTGATTCACTTGCGCCTCTGCTGGGGCCACTGCCTTGGATCAGACATCTGGAAGCTGAGTTCCAGGAGGAGAAAGGATTTCTGCAAGAGATACCAGCCGTGAAGGTCAACAGAACAATGGAACTGCTTTAGAAGAGCTGTGCTAGGCTGTTGACCCCAGGAGGGTCTGGGAGGAAGGTAAGACCTAGTTCTTGCCCTTGTCCCAGCCCCAAGCTACTCTTCCAGGCTCTATCAGGATAGCCTGGGGTCCTGAGAGCAGATTACGCCTGAGTTAAAAGTCCCATTACCTAAGGATTTTGCAGTGCAGGGGCCAAAAAAGGACTGGCATCCTCATTTGCTTTGATCTCCAGCCAGCACTTCCAAAAAGGAGGTCATGACATCACAGGTCTGCAGCTTTCAATGCTTTCCAGCAAGACCCCAGACTGGCTCTCCTTAGCTTGAGTCAACTCCTAATTCATCTCTAAAGGGGTCTCCAAGACTGCTGGGGGTGGGGAGAAGCTCACCTTGGCACAAAAGCCTGCAAGCACAAGAAAGTGGGAGTAGGACCCTTGATGAGTGACACAAAACTCTGCTAGCTGCTGCCATGGACTGGCTGTAGGAGCTTGTGCCAGCACTGTGCCTTAAGCTCTTTGCAGCTCACTCTCCTCTCTGTGGCTTCTCCTGGGATGCTCTTCAGGACTGTGCATCCAGATCTCTTGG